AATCATATTACCTTTTGAATCTGGTTGCTCCTCTTTTAATAATTCAATTGCTTTGTTTGCCTTTTCTTCAGACCTGCAAGCTATCAAAATATTTTAGACCTGTAATAATAATATAATGTAATAATGAGATATCAATGGAAAGAACAAAGCAGTTTAGAAAAAAATAGTTTAATTGCAACAATATCAAACAATACTAATATATATATAAAAAAAAGCTATAACATATCACATTTATAGAAACAAAATTCAATATTCAACAAATGCTGTACTYTAAAAGAGATAGTCTCCTCTCGCAGCCGTTAGGACGTTCGTTCCCAGGTGCGAGAGGAGACTACAAAAGAGACTGTAAGATATAAATATTTACGTTGATATAATATAGCTACTACAAAAATTCTTATAAATCAACGCTCTCGAGAGCATGCCGACAATTCAAAATCCGAGATCTTGTTATAGAAATTTCGAGATCCGAGGCCAAAAAAATTTGCCGGAAACACGAGATTCCGAGATCCTTTTTTTGGCAGTCTGTCCGAGATCTCGAGATTCTACCAAAAATTGCAGAGACCCAGTTATTTCTAGGTACCATTCGCCACCCCTCAACGAATACTCATCGCGCAGCGTGACGCGCGTTTGTGCTAAGTCACAATGAGGCAGCACACTCTAAAGTGTTTTTGAAATCCAAACAGTATGTTTTGATGGAAAGACTGAGTTTAAATTCCAATATGACCTTCTAGCTAAAAGTAAAAGAAAAGACGTAACTTAAAAGAAAAAATTAGAAAGAAACTATAAAAAACGTGAGCTTACCCATAATTACGGTCATTCCTGTTTTGCAGAGACCTTTAACAGTTTCAAAACCAATACCAGAATTTCCTCCAGTGACAATTGCGACTTTGTTTGAAAGGTCTGATGGCGCATCTGATGTTGCACAATTGCACTTGATGAGCTTATAAACATACGAGCCCAACAATATTATACTATCATGACATCCATTTGATATACACAATCACGAATCACGCAAACTTATTTTTAGTGTTTATTGCAATCATGTACCTTGCCATGGATCTTTTCTTAGATGAAAAGCCCGAGAAAACATAGCTCTTGCCATTTTGTGTTGCACAAGAAATGGGAAGCTGAGTAACGCAGGACCAAAACGAATATACCTTGATATATTTAGTTAGTCGGCGCCTCAATGCACAACAACAACAACCGCACGTGACTACCCGTGGGGCATTTGTGCACGCTAGAATGGAAAATTTAGAAAATTAACCGAAAAATTGTGTAGGTCTTATGTAGGTCTCTTATAAAAAAAAATACAAAAACAAACCTGAAGAAATAAAGCTCCTATTTGCCTAACGTCTGCCGATTATTGCTATTTCACAAAGTCAATGAAAAAAAGAATATGCAAAAAAAAAGAAAACGGTGAATTTTTGTTATACCGTCAAAGAAGTAGCTATATACGAAAAACGCTTCTATGGTTTGTAACGGGGTAATATTGCCTAKCCAACCTCATTTTCAGGGTTCAAAAATATCGAAGTAGAAATCAGCTGATCGAGATATTGAAAAAAAGAATATATAATTACAGAATGAGACTCACTAACTAGTTCCCAGGCTCTAGGTCAGGGGCACGAGTTATAAAATACTTCTTCGAGATACCCAAATGCCTTATTCTACCTGATTCATGCTACGTATCATCTTTCCATATCTTTAGTTCACGTGACTCTTTCAGGTCAATTCTATTTATATTCAATGGCGTTTGCATACCTTTGTACATTTGATAAAATGTGTCCAAAACACACACAGTAGAATGTGAAGCCATATTGGAGACTAATTACTTTAATGAACTGACAACATAGTTGATTATTACAACATAACATTGAAATAATTTGCGAATCATTTATCTTTTATCGAAGTCTAGTTTTAATCGAGTCTAGTTTTAATCTCATCTAATTAGCTAACAGTTCAGCGTCGTTTCTTTTTGTCCACCAATAATGCTTGCGAGGCTGGGCCGTCAATTAGAGCGGCATAGGTAAAACYAGCAGCTGGAATCATACCCGGTACATTCAAAATATCTCGGGCCCCCGGGATAATAGCGCCATCCAGCCTGACTTGGAACACRTCATGCAAACCTGCCACAGCGTTAACTCCGGGTACTTTGTTCAAAAATCTGCTGATTCTTCCTCCTTCGTAAAGCCAACTCCTCGGGTCAATAGTCTGATCWCGTTGGATACCAATGTTATTTGCTCCCTTTATGGGCATCTGAGTTTGAGTCTTTGGTTGTGCTGGACCCCCTGACTGCCATGTGGGTTTATAGTTGACCATAGTGTTGTAAAGGTACTGCGCAGATGCTGTTATTCCAGCAAGCAGAAACCCGTCTTTAAATCTCCCGCCAGTGAGTTCRCTCGCYGTTCCTCCACCTATAGCTTGGGCTGCGACACGTTCAAGGTTCCAWGTGCTACCGAAATGCGCTCCGATACCTGCGCCAATTCCACCGGTAATGGCTCCACCTAACGCACCTTTCAAGCCTGCTTTAAGAGATCCTCCAGCAATCGCACCTCCAACAAACCCAGCTGCTGCCCCTGCTAATGCTCCTGCTGCGATAGTTCCAGTCACTCCTGTTAACCCTACCGATGCAACTACTCCAGCAGCAATTGGAGCAGCTGCTCCTAGTGTCACCACTGATGCTACGACAGCCACGACTGTAACTAATGGTTTCCATATTTTCTTGAAGATACGACCGATYTTCTTAAAGAAGTAACCAGATGGATCCGTATGCTTAAGAGGGTTGTTCAAAGTGTAGCTGTAACGGTTCAAGTTCTGAGTGTTGTAGGGGTCTTGAACATGAGGGTCAGGACTGAGGAATCGCCCAACAACAGGATCATATATACGTCCGTTCATGTGAATAAGATCTACTTCCTCTAGATGCTCGTGCCCTGTGAATCCACGTTTAGTACCAGTAGTAGCAGAACCACGTTGTGCGTGGCTAGTGCATCCTTCAAAGCTTGCCCAGTGCTCTGAGCGTCTCTGTCCATAAGCATTATACCTAAGCGATTCGAGAATATTGCCTCTTTCGTCAGTCACCGTATCAACGGAATCAAGATGGTCTCCATGGATGTACCTTATAATAGCCGATGATGATAGTTCAGACTCKACCTTCGTATCTATAGCAACTAGCCTTCCAAGAGCGTATATAAAGTACTTATGAGAGGTTTTCTTGCCATCCGTGATTTTCTCGTATACTTTTCCAATGTATATGCTTGTCTCTTCAGGACTGGATTTTTTAAAACGATTTAGACTGGCATCATATTCAAACTTGACGGTATCTCTAGTCTTTCTCTCTATCGTTCTTGGCTTATTAAATGAGGTCCATGTCACGTGTTGATTGTTCTTTTTTACCATGTTACCGTTCGAATCRTATGAGTAGGTATTGGGACCAGCACGGATGACTGCATGGGGCTGTGAGCTGCTGTATTCGTGATGGAGACCTCCAAATCCGCTGTACCTGCGAAGGTTACCGGAACTATCGTACTCCCAATCTTCACTGAATGCTGCTTCCTTGTTGAGATTCATGCTTCTTATGTTAGCCTTGGTAATTCTGTCCAGAGCGTCGTAGAAAAATGTCTCTTTAGTGTTCCACTTATGCGAAAAATCTCTTCTCTCAAGCATATTTCCAGAAGCATCGAATGTGTACTCCCAGTGTCGCTTCATTCTCCTGGAGAAGTCTAACGTTTTAATGGATTTGATGTGGTTACTGCCATCATAAGTGTAGTCAGTCAATAGTGAGTTGCCATACTGYTCCTTTGCTATGTGTCCAAATGAATCATAGGCTAGCGCTCTCCAGTAGACTGATGTCGATGATCCCTGGCCACATGGCGCTCTAGATACCTCAGTTAGAAAACCTTGGTCATCGTAGCAGTAATTAACCTTCTTGTTCTTTGGTAGTGTTTGCTGCGTTAGTTGTCCAAGATTGTTGTAACTCGAGTGGACATCAAAAATTTGTCCATCTATTCGCTGTCTGATAGTACTCTCTCTGCCTTTATCATCGTATGTATACTCCTTGACGTGACCATTTGGAGATTCTGTTTTAGAGAGTTTTCCTTTTCCGTGAGCGCTTTGGTCGTAAATCCACTTTGTTCTCCCTTCAGGGGCACGCTGAGCAATCATGCGGCCCAGTCTGTCGTAAGTATAGAATATTTCGTTGCCTACAGCGTCTTTCTGCCATATCTTTTGACCATGTGCGTCATACGAGTACTTCCAGAGGCCCATATCAGGATCATCTATGGATACCTTGTTACCAAGTTGATCATATGCTATAGAAGTCACGTGACCCCCAGGATCAGTTGTTTTKATCAAGTTCCCAACCGAATCGTACTGATATGTCGCCTTTCCACCAAGAGCATCCGTCACTTTGATAATTCTTCCTAATACATCCCTCTCCATCTTTTTCCTGTTGCCATTAGCATCTGTGGTGACTGATTCAAGTCCATTATATACTTTCACTCTTCGAGCAGTGCCTGGACCATCTAATGGTCGTTCCTCAAGAATCTCACGACCAATCTTATCGTACTTGAATACTATCCAGGAAGGTGATTGGCCCTTAGAATAGTATGGTAAACTTTGTCTTCGCACTTGACCAAACGGATCGTAATCGATATCCTGGTAGACATCTTGCCCTTTAAATCCCTTTGATTGTATACGAATAGGTCTGTCTAAGCAGTCGTAGATCTTGAGAGTGTCTTGATCTCCACTTCTGGTTGTCTTCTCTATATAAACAGCTCTCTTAAGAGAAGTGTGATGTGCACTGAAATATAGCTCCATTTTGGTAGTAACGCCGTCTGGACGAATTTCTTGGATGCGTCTGTCAAAGRCGTCGTACTTGTAAGTTGTCTTAAGGCCATTAGCTCCTATGAATGAGAGTACATTGCCAAATACGTCGTACTTGTAAGATTCAGTGTGTCCAAAATCGTTCTTTACGGACAGGAGATGAAGACCCTCCGTGTCGTAAGTCATAAATACCCGTCGAGGAATAGGGGTAAGAGAAGCTGACCTCGGGAAAATTGGAGTTTCAGCTTTTTCAACAACGTTGCCTTTGGAATCGTAAACATATGACGTTTTTATTCCGAGGTGATGGTTTGGTTCTCTGAGTTCGTATTTAAGATTCCTTGTGGTTCGGTCGTAATAGAATATCGATCTCCTCACTATGGTTGTGGCGCCTGMACTGTGATAAGACACTGCAACCGAGTCTAACTCTCCAATGTACCATGTGTGAGGGTTATTAGTATAATTATTTAGTGTTTTYTGTTCAAAGGTTTTGCCGTTTCCACTTGTGATTTTATTCATCGCTTTTATGTTTCCATAATCATCTACGCCATCGATGACTAGCTGTTCCGTTCTTACAAGGTTACCGTTGAGTTCATAGTGATTTACWACGTCCTTCTGTAGCAAAACCTGCTTTTGTCCACTACTCCTAGACCTTGAACTGTACGATTTAGTACTTTGAAGGACTGCAACGCCACCAACTTTCTTTGTAACGGATTTTGTCATCGATGTTAATGGAAAGTTCTGATGATACGATGTGGTTGTTGTTTCGGCGTTTTCATGTCTTTTCTCAGTAACCTCACTGAATCCCAATCCACYACGACCTTTTAAATTGACACGCATGCCACTGTAGGTAAATGAGGTAGTATTCAACCCTCCAATGCCATTATTCTGTGTATATTGTTTGACCACAGTCTGTGCAACATTAACTTTTGGATTTGGATAGGGCATAGTGTTTCCTCGAGTATAAATCGTTTTTTCAGCTAATGAGGAGTAAGTAATCTTGTGCGTGTTCTTATAGCTGTCGGCAAAGGATGTTAACAGGGTTTGTTTATTATCATTTGTAGAGATGTATGCTCCTGAATTAGCAAAACCAATGATATCCACAACTCCGTCTCCTGTTACATCGGCCAGATAACGAGGATGGTATTTGTTTACCCAACCACCGCTGTCCTTACCRAAAGCTCCCGTCCAATGCCTTTTGTAAGAAAATGAGGACAACCCAGAATTTATTGCAACGTAAACTCCACTATTTGCAATACCAACGACATCAGCTAGTCCGTCTCCATTTACATCCTGCACAAATCGTGGGTGGTGCTCTACCCTCCAGCCATTGTTATAAGAAAATCCACGAAACCATGTCCTTGAAGGCAGAAAACTCTTTCCTGTGCAAAGAGAAACCTCTACACCACAACAGGAGAATCCAATAACATCAGGCAAGCCATCTCCGTTGACATCCACAACGAATCTAGGGTGTTGGTTGGTTCTCCATCCTCCTGCGTTGTGTCCAAATTGACTTCCCCACCGGGATGCTGATTTAAAGGACGTTCCTGTATTGACTCCAACRTATATACCRTCATTAGCCATTCCTACAACATCTGGAAGACCATCYCCTGTGACGTCYTCCAGAAACCTTGGGTGATCTGCAACGCGCCATCCGCCGGCAGAATATCCAAACGCTGCCAGCCATCTTCGACTTGTTTGAAAACGAGAACCAGTTCCAAGGGCAACATAAACACCGCCATTAGCAAAGCCAACAATGTCGGCTAAGCCATCGCCATTCATATCTTTCACGAATCTTGGATGGTTCTCTACTCTCCAGCCATGGTTGTAACCAAATTGATACAACCAGTTTCTTGGAGAAGTAAAAGAYTCCTTTCCRGTRTTAAGAGCAACATAGACTCCATCATTGGCAAATCCAACTATGTCTGGAAGATGGTCGCCATTGACGTCTACAACATGTCGAGGATGTTGACGACCCCACCCACCCGAACTGGAGCCAAATGAATGCACCCATGTTCTATGTCGCTTGAATGATCGGGCTCCGCTGTTCAGAGCCACCACAACACCTCCATTGGAAAATCCCACTATATCTGCCAAACCATCATCATTCATATCGACTACCTGACGAGAGTGGGTACCTACACGCCATCCTTGATTATATCCAAACTCATGAATCCAGTATCTTGGGCTGCTGGCTCTTTCCACATCGACAGTACCTTGATACGTCATTGTCTCCGGTTTGTAACATTTTCCACCCCTGGAACACAACTGGACAGTCGATATGATGCTCTGTTGTGAAGTCTTAGCTGTTTGATACGTTATTTTGATTTCACGGTGGAGTTGACCTGATACAAGTGTTTTGACAGATTTCAGTCGTTTGTTTTGCGTATGGAAGACACCGCCATTGAGATAACTCGTAGAGACATCACTGCGAGCTTCGTACTCAAAGGAAATCAGCATGTTATTATAGGAGATTTGTGATACCAATAAACCATTCGTGTTGTCCATGTACTTTACCTTGATTACGTTGTTAGAATAGTCGCTGATTGAATCGAGTTTCCACGCGTGGATACTTTGAACACCATGAGCAAAAACGCGGGAATTAGCGTGGGATCCAAATGTCATTTTCTGGTTTCCTTTGGTCTTAATGTGAAATCTCTGAGGTCCTGCTCCTTGTGAACCAAGGGCATAAGCTCTCATGTAGGAATCTAACTCTGTGCCATATGTCGACCCATCCACACCGTAAGAACCAGAAGTCACGACAAGCCTAGAGCCTTCATAGCAAAATCGGTCTTTATTATCGTAATTTACACCACTTCGAAGTCCGTCTTGAGCTGGGGTCTTAGCACACCTAAATTAGTAGAGAAATTATATGAAAAAAACAATTACTTTGATGACGTTATTTTGATCAACGGCTTGATTAAATTGAAAATATTGGAGTCCATATTCTAAAATATATCAAGAATAATAGCCTTTAGCTAGTAAGGTCTACCTTTCGATTTGGGTCAATCCCCCTATGCTCCATCCGACCCCAAGAGGACCATTCCCTCCGCCACTAGTGTACTGAAGTTGGACTTCAAATAAATGAGTTGGGAATCCTTTGGGTGTAGCCACAGGTACAACATACTTTGCTTGGCCTAGCTCAACTTTAAACTCCGTTAACATATTCCCCACTTCATAGTTATGGCTGTACTGGACAAAAGCCAGCAGAATCGCCAAGCTGTGCATGCGCAGCATCGCTAGAAAAATCATAAAATCATGATATAAAGCATGTTTTTCTCTCCATATATGAAATGCAAAAGTCATGATTATTAAACTGTTCAACAATCAAATTATGTACGATTTTGCTATAATTGGGAGAAATTATTTTATACGGTTATTTAGACCCAAAGAAAATCAAAAATTGAAAACATGAAAGTAAAATATATGGCAATGGATCATAAAATAGTTATTGTTGAATTTTACTTGTGTACGGTCGACAATAAAGAACTTAGCTTTTCCGGAACCCGCGAAAGCGGAAAAGGTGAAAGAGAAAGTTTATGCACAAGATATATAAATGTACATCCGGTTTCATAAAATTATTTTGAAAAGTCACAAGATTTACCATATAGWGGATATTACATGGGCGCGCGGAGATACGGATTTTATCTTTCGAGTGATGAAAAGATCTCTCACGATCGAGTGAGCGTTACGAAACGGAGAAATATAGATATTTCATAGATAATTATGTGATAAATTATATTATCACTTGATTCATTGTCTTTTAGCTACGTACACAATTGTAAACAGGTTTTCTGGTTTTAAGACACTATTGTATACCTACCTTTCGAGTAAGCAACCGTGCAACAAAATAACACTGAAACCCTTTGTTACCTTTAAAGGCAAATAAGAGTTTTGGTCTAACACGATAAAACATGTTTAACATGCTGCATCAAGGGTAAATATTGAATAACAACGACATAACTTTTAATTGAATTAAAGGGATTTTATTTGTTATTGTGAAATTACTACAGAACTCTTAATAGAGCTCTTCTTCAAGTATCAATAGCCCCATCCACAATTTTTCATTAATTAATACTCAGCAATTACCAAAATGCTTGAGTTGATTTTAAGTGAAATAATACCATAGCAATGACTGCTATTTTTGTTCATATTGATTTGCAAAAGAATAAACTTTGTTATAACACCTTTGTTTTTTTGTATTGATTTATTCATCACTGCATCACAATAGACTAATCAAACTGATAAATCTTATGAATGAGCTGCGACGACATCTTATCTCTAGGTTTTTGGACTCCATAATATGATAGATTTGATTCCCAATATTTTTGCATGGATTATAAAATCTTGCAAAAAAAAACAATTTTAGTCAGTTGCCAAGTGCCATAGATTTACCCTTCACAAATGTATACAAATGACTTTAATTGCAAAAGGTCTGACTCAGTGGCAGCTGCATTTGAAGAGATCAACGAAAATTAAATTCTATTGGACCAGCATTTACAAAGCCGATCGTGACAGAGTAGATGACAAGGTATATAAATCAAAAATCTCTCTTTGAAATGACTAAGCGTACTGCCGTAATTTCCTCCCGGTAAGCGCCAAAACGTCCAARTGAAAATGAAAACTTGTTTATGTGGACATTTTCAATTAAACTTTCAACTATATTTACGCCTTAACTACACGGAAAAATAATCCAAAAAAAATTGTTAAAAGCTATTCTGAATCTTACCTTAAAGGGCCTGAGTGACTTCTCTAGTGTGAATTCAAGAAATCCTTAAACGGGAAGTCAATATGTATTGTCATCACTTGCCTTAAAGACTCAACAAACTGAGACATGAAACCGAACCGGAAAAAACTGAAGGGTTACGTTATAAGGRTGCGCACGTGTGTGTGCAGAAGGGGGTTAAGTGGGAGGGGAAGAGGGGGGAAGGGTTTGAAAGAAACCAGGAGGAGTTTGATTGGGATTGGACATTTTAGCATGGAAAATAACAAATACCATTATTTGAATATCACGAGCAGGCTTGTCGAGATAGAGATCACAGACGCTTGGATCGAGATCAAACAACAAGAATTCAGTTGGATCACAGCAGTTTTGAGTGATCAGGGATCATTGAAAAKTTTCCGAAGCTTTTCAAGCGACCCTGATATAATTAGATGGATGGACGGATACTAGATGAAAGTTAAATGCAAAAAAGTTATCAAGACGTTATCGGATTTTCATTATCATTCCATGTATACAGTATAACATTCCTTATACTCATTTACTATCCCATGAATATTATGAACTTATTGATAATCCCGGGCTGAATAATTTGTCGTCAGTTTGAGAAGTTATTTAGTTTTTGATTAAACCACTTGTGTAGACTACAGTTCAACATTAAATATTCGAATTAGTCAACGTTCTGGCATTATTGATCGATCAGAATGAGTGAATATATGCCTCGCTTCGTTCGACGTTGCGGCCGAATGGTGCCGAATCTCGCCAATCAATAATTTGTCGTCAGTTAACAAAGTGTTGCTAAGTGTCCGTTGTCGGCCGTGGATCACTGTACAGCGCTCGTTATTAATTTCTTTTGATTACTCTTTCTGTTCATACATTTTGGAGTTTGGAAGTATATAGATGTAGATAACATTTTGTTAATCAATATCTTGTCGTTAGTTTACGAAGTTATTTGGCTTTAGACGTAGCTTCGTCGGTCGACCGGTTATTCAGTTCGTGTGCTTCGTCTCCATTCTCACCACCGTCYTCAGTGGGTATCTGATGATCTGCCATATTGTGGTAGGAAAGGTTCTTGGAGTAAGAACGAGGCTTTTCGACAGCACAAAGACTGCAGCCACACGTTCCAGTGTACCGCTTGCGAAAATAGAAACTGTGATACAGAAAATGAAATATATAATGATCATTACTTWCAATAGAACAAGAAAACCCCTGGGAAGATGAGAGGACACTCAATCTGGGACAAAGGTATGACATGGGAGAAAAAGATAAACAGTTAAGGCAAAAATATCAAGTTAGAATAATGAAATAATCAACTATTGTCCAATCAATTTTAAGTAGTACTGTTTTCGATAACGTCTAGTCCAAACAGAGAAGGTATTAATAATTCGTCTGGACGAAGGAACGATTAGGGGAGCACGATTTTGAAATCTTTAAATCTCGGAAAGTCCGGTCTCTACAGTATTTAGAAATCTTTTCCAAGTCCTATTCATTAATCTCTCGGCTTCGCCTCGGRCTGAAAAAAGTTCTGCCCATCCCTCATTGCGTTTGAATACACTTACAAGTATGATAGAAGCCACATAGTGAACACGAAGCCTGCGATTGCTGCCATAATCCAAATACTGAAAAAAAACAAAGAGAAACCTTAATTAAAAGACAATACCAGAAACAGTTGTACTTAACAGCAACATATGAAGAGGTAATAACTATTACTAGTGAARGTCTTATTACTTCACAATGCTTAGAAGAGGAACAGCAAGACAAGTCCAAATTCCTCCACCCATAAACGGTGAGTGAAGAAGTTGCTTGAAAGCAAAGTCTGCRGGSACCGGGGTACGAGATTCTGGATCGACCATGCGCAGTAAAACCAGGCCAGTAGCTATTACACCTGTATTCATACCAAAGTCTGCTATTGCACGCTCAAACCTGGAAAAAACGATAGCTGGTATTATTGTAGAAATTTACTGTTTATCAACAACATGATATCCTAAAATGTAAATGAGATAAACATGCCTGATATCGATCCTAAATCGTTATGCACATTTTCATCACCAGGCACGCTGTTATTGGCTAATTTTATCCGCTGGATAACGAGTTCTATCCGAATCACCAATGCCGTCACTATATCCTTACCCATTATCATATTATAACTATTGAAAAGGAAGCACTCACCAATGATTTTGAAATAGAAACCTTGCAAAAACACCAAGCATGATGAAGTTCCATATAAAACCACAAGTACATAAGATCAAYAATGGAGCGATATCAACAGCGACCGCAGCCACATCGACAGTTGAAACAGCGGCAGTGATTAGGAAATCTAGGGACGACGACGCGATCCTTTCCATCATAGATGCGTCAATAAGTTCATTGATGGTTTCTATACGTTCGATGATCAACTGAAAATAGATTCAAAAGTGTAAGGTAAGGTTCTATAAGTATATATGGAGATATTTTGTGATTAAATTACGGGTGTTAATACCACGTCCACGTATGCTTACTCGATAACATTAAACATTGCGTTATAATCTGATCCCAAACATAGTGTTATGTACTTCTTGGTAARAACTAGCCTCCGCCGCAGCCGTCATCAGTGTCAGGCTGGTGTATTTAGGACATAGCGGCGGCTGTGGAGACTACGCAAAAACAAAAATGCGCCCAAACAGCGCAGGATCCAATCAAGGGATCATCATTTTTGCAATCCAATCGATCGCGTACGTGATGCTCGTGCGCAGAACTGATAAAATCCATGCACCAAATATGGACATACCTGCATAATTATCCCCCCTGCCATGCAAAGAGGAAAAAGAGGAATTCCCGATAGAAACCTCAGTTCTTTTAGTTTTTCTGACGTGTCCTCAATTGCAAACAAAGTTTGTTTGAGTCCGTAACCAAAGAGCATTGCAATTCCCAAAACGGCTAAATGTAACGCCAACACATCGATAGAACTAGCGCGAACTGTCTGTACACCAGCTACTGGTCGACTACCCATGGCATACACCCCCCTGAACARAAAGATCATATCATCAGTGCATATAGAAAAATTGATGAATCAACAACGAAGCTATTGTATTTGGATCGGATCGAAATAATGATGTAGATGATTGGATTTGAAGTGATTTTGTCATTGCCAAAAATTTGGGTCATTGACCAGCGGTTTTCTTTGGCTCAGATATTGACGATTTTATACGTAAAATTACAACTCTAAAATGTTTTTCAAACATTTTAAGTCTATTCAAACTACAGAATTAGCATTGTTTTTTGATTGTTTTTAAAGCATTTAGATGAATTTTATTGTCATTRCGTATTGGAGCGTGCCGTGTCATAAATAAAAGTTATTGTTGTGTATTATCATTTCATTTTATTCTTCTATTCTTAGATAAGTACTAGCCCCAGGGTGGGGAAGGTTTGATCTTATTCTTTTGCCCATGGTAGGGGTCATTTGACACCGAAAATTGATTTTTTTTCAAAGTCCCCACCCCATCCCGAGGTCCCCCCCCCTCGGGCTTAACATTGATAGGTGCATGAGTACAATGATTGAACTATACCTTGATCATTTTTAGTCGCGCACCGAGTACATAATTACATAATGCTTTGTTTTGTCCACAAATACTGAAAAATATTCTATACATTTCCTTATACAAAATGGCCATTTTGTTTTGTTTGTTTGTTTGTTTGTTGTTGTTTTTTTTTTTGGAAAAAAACGCATGCGATGCATCTTGACCCAAATTTCTGGCAATGTTAAAACGAGTAAATTCTCTTTGCACAAAACTATACTTAGCATGTCGAATGCTACTAACCTAATTGATATCTTGACTTCTTGAGCAGTGTCAATTCGTTCTCTCTTCACCCACCCCTTGTAAGTAGCAATRTTGACCCACATGACACCGAAAATGATAGAAAATGTCAGACCAAGAGTCGCGCTCGCAAGCCCAAAATCTCCTCCATTTTCAAATCCCAACTGAAAAAAATTTAGAAAACTAGTGTCAAATACAACGTTAATCTGCGTCGATTATAATACGGAAGAATTGTACAAAAATTGAAAAATTTGTTGGCATCTCGAACTTTAGACTCACCTTTCGATATGTGTTTGTCAATCCACCAGCTGTACCGTGCCCACCAGCAAAACCAATAGGWAGAACGGACGCAAACAGCGGCTGAACATTGAACACAGGCATCTACAAATAAAAACCAACAAAAAGATTGACTACACTGGACACAGCACAGGTGCGCAATAGTCTCCGTGCCTTTGCATCGAAGCGAGAAAACCGTTGAGCGTGCAATGATAGAAACCTGTGAATAATTGTTTGTAGGTGTGAAAGAAGTTTTCTATCATTGCACACTCAACGGTTGTCTCGCTTCGATGCAAAGGCACGGCTACCTTTCAAGATGGCGCAGGTAACCGTGAAGGAGACTATTCACTACTTTTTAATCATTATCGTCATCATCATGACTTTTCGTAGTGTCAGCGCACTTGTACCGTGAAAAATAATAAAAACTTAGTACAGTTCTTTGTTAAACGCAGAGCAAAGATGTCGGGACATGCCACAACTAGTGTTAAATGTAGGCTTTATGGCAAATCGAGTTTATTGAAAGGTCAAAAAAAAGAAATGCCCTATATGCGTACATATGAAATAAAAGAAAGTTTGATCACATAACACTTCAAAACTAAATAAATGTGGATAGCGTTCACACGAAAAAAGTTGTGCAGTTGTCAAGTCTATTGTGTATTGCAATTCTTGTTTCGTTACCAGTAGTGCTCCTGTAACGACTAGAGCGACAAGCCACTGGCCCCAGGCGATGAGC